ATACATACATACATACACATACACACATTGTTGACTATGGAGACCATGGCGGGGTTCAGCACAGAAGCCAATGCATGGGTAAGATGGCCAGCATTTCTTTCATAATATGCAGTATGGGTGGAAAATGGGTTAAGAGCATGGTTCACATCTCATCACACCAAAGCATCTGCAGGCCTGTAAACCATAAGAAACAAAACATGTCAGAGAGGCTTCCAAACTTCCTGGGAGGATAATAAGAATAAGACATACATTGGGCTTGGAGTGGAACCTAGGAAAAGAGGGTATAAATGATGTATAGTGCATTGAAACAGAATAGGAAGAGAACAGTTTAAAACAAATATAAAATTAGGTATTATTTTCATGACAAGATTTCAGAAAAAAGAAATTCATAGCAAAGTGGACTGTGGAGTCGGGGGACTGCATAACAATGAAAAAATTTTTGTTTCAAAGAGAAAAATTATCTGGGGGGAGGGGTTGGCAGGGAGGAAAATGTGCAACAATGAATGAGTGGGAGAAAATTAAATGCAAAGAATATGCTGCAAATATATATATATATAATAAAAAAATCAATTAAAAAATTTAAAAAAGAATGAGACATTGACTTCACAACAACAGAAATGACCAGAAAGTGTTGGAAAAGTTCCTTTCAGTTTTTAATTAGGAAACTGGTAGATTATGAGGTCATGAGTGGCAAAGGAAACATAATCCCAGCTCAGAAACTTTCTTGCCATCACTGAGTCTCAGGCAACTCACTGAGGGAGCATTTAAAAGACTTTGTGCATATATCAAATGAGTACAAGAAGTTTATAATGTTTCTGAAGGTCAAAACTACAGGCACTACACAAAACTGTAACAAGAACATTGTTACTGTACATTTTCAATATGCTCCCTTGTTTTCTTGTAAGTTGTTTTATGTACCAAAATGCTATTTATTAAACTTAAAATAGCCCCTTTTTTTTTAAAAAAAAGAAGAAACAGTATTCACAGATGACTTAAGGTTGTCATGCTTTGTCTCCTAACTTCACAGGCTGTCAAAGTGCAATTAACATTATTTTTAGGGATTTATGGTGGCTTAGAAGGAAGGAATTGCATTGCCAACACAAAGGTTCACAGTTTGAATTAACAACAATAACAACAGCTGTGTGATTGAATGTCAAAAACAAAGACCAACAAAATATTAAGTAGGTCTGCAGTGTTGCTTTTCTAACCCTGAGTTAGAAACCAACCCTTAATATTTGCCTATGGCAAGCATTATACGAACATCAATTTCTCACTTTAATATTTAAAAATAATCCTTATAAAACTCTACATGCTTCCTGTGTACTTTGTTGTATTCCAAGATTCTGAGTTGAGGACTACAGGGATGAGTGTTACAGAGTTTTATTCCACTTAAATAATAGATTTCCTCTGCAAAAACAAATCTGAGAGCTTTCTACTCACATCCTTCACCCAAGTTAACTATTTCACTTAAGAACTAAAGGAGTTGGGAGCGGGAAGAAAGATGGTGGCTCAGTGACTTTTAGGATTCTTTAGGAAAAATATCAAGGAAGATTGATGTTTGAATCAGGTCAAGATTTGGAAACGTTGGTCCTTAACACTGTAATTCTTTGGGGTAAAGGGAGACAGTTAACACTGAAATGGGTGGGGTATACACAGTATAGACTTTGAAAGGTAGAGGCTGGAGGGTAAAGGATCCAGGGGAGTTAGAAAATTGAGGAGGACCAGGCTCCCTGTTGGTAGCACTCCTCTCCAGGAAGCACTAGAGAATGCTAGCTCAACATCTGACACTTAGATCTTCTTCACACAGCTTCACATTTCCAGATAAGTTCCTCAAGATAGTGCTTCAATGCATTCATTGAATGCACTAAAACACTGTGTCATATCAATTAAGCTAAAACCTAAGTAAAAAGGTAAACAAGGCCACCTATGATTTTTGTAAAGTTTAAGGTAAAGGTAGAGAGCCTAGAGGAAGATCCAAAAGGCATAATTACAAGGACATCTAGACATTAACCCATACATCTTCCCCATAGCACTCCACATTTCTGAACACCCCATCTTACATAATTTATACACTTATAATTATACACTTACATAATTTATACATTTATTCCAGCACTTCCCACCATGAAGTTGTCTCCTAATTCAAATTTCCATTTGCAGCCCAGGTTCTACAATAATGTTTGCAAACATTTTCTTACCTAGTTCTGGGGACATTGTCTATGGTGTCACCCATCAAGAGGTTTGAAGTCAGTGTCTCAGGGACAGATCGCTTTCCAAATCTTAAAGAAAAGGGGGAGAAATATCTCTTAAAGCAAGGTTGGAATAGGTGGCTAAATCGATAGATAACAGAGTATCCTAATTGGATTATTAAACGTGAAAATTATTTTCAGTCAATTGTTTGCATATAAGCAATCTACTTTTATGTTAGTCTGCTATTTATCAACTATAAATGAAGCATTGACAGATAAAATAACATCTGAACAAAAGTTCAAAAATTTCTACTCTAAGTAAACAGATACCATTCTGAAGTAGTTTAATCTTAAGAGATCAGATGGAACTATAGAACCAGTGCTACAAAAGAAACCAGCAGATTGATGATCTAGACTCACCTGTGTCTTTAAATATCACAACTTTCATTTGTAAAAACAAAATCACAATCCCTGCTTAAATCAAGTTTCAGGAAGAGTCAATGAGAATGTGTGCTCAGTGATTTGAAAGTGACAAAATAATGTACAAATTCAAGTTACACATTGTTTCTACAGAATATTCCAGATTCTACTTTTCCTTATTTTATTTTGATTTAGGATGTCCTAAGCCATATGCCTTTGAAAATGTACTGAAGCTCTGGTGACTGAGTCGTGCTGCCAAACCAAAGGCACACAGTTCTTATCCACCAACTGCTCTGTGGGAAAAATCTCCCCCATGTAATTACAACCTTTATAAACTCACTGGAGGGTCAGCTATGAGTTGGTTCTGATTAGACAAAACACAACAACTGTTTCAGGCAATTAACTGGGGTCTTTCTTAATTCTTTCCCTCTCTCTCCTTCCATTTCTCCCTCCTTTCCTCTTTCCCTCTTCTGTTCTCTCTCTGTCTCTCTTTACACATATACAAACACACACACGCCGAGCTAAAGATTTATCCTTTATGCAAAACTACATTTTAAAAGTGTTCCCTGCCCCTCTTTTTCTATGCAAAGGTGGGGGTCACCAGCAAAAGGACCCCTCACAGATGTAAAACTGTTGTTGTTGTTGTTATGTGCCGTCAAGTCGCTTGTGACTCATAGCGACCCTATGTACAACAGCCCTAAACCCTGCTCTGTCCTCTGCCAATAGCGTTGCCTCTGACACACTCATCCCGATTACCCCAGTTACTGAATCAATCCACCTCATAGAGGGCCTGCCTTTCCCTCCTGTGCTGTGTCCCTCCACCCTCCCAAGCATGATGTCCCTCTCCAAGGACTGGTCCCTCCTTACAACATGTCCAAAGTATGTCAGACAAAGCCTCAGAATCCTTGCCTCCAAGGAGCCACCTGGTTTAACCCTCTCCAAGATGAATCTGTTTGTTTTTCCTAGTAGTCCATAGTACCCTCAATACTTTTCTCCAGCACCACAGCTCAAAGGCATCAATTCTCCTTCTGTCCTCCCTAGTCATTGTCCAGCTCTCTGATGTATAACAAGTGATTGCAAAGATGTAAAATTAGTCTGTTAAAAAATTATTTAACTAGTTGCTAGAATAGCCAAACAAAGCCAACAGAGGGTGAGATCTTACTGCAATAAGCAACCCAATAAATATCAAGCTTCTGGTAAAAGATTTTCCTCTTGTCATTTGGCTGAGACTTCAGGAAAACAGAATCAAAACGACACTGCTGATACTCCATTGTTCTCAAGATTGATGATAAGATTTTCTGTCGTTGTGATATCAAACTGTAAGCAGCTGCTCATTTATTATGTCCATCAGTTGATTTTACAAATGTTAAAACTCTTGGGCATCCTTTACTCATTCTTTTTCACCATAAGTAAAATGATGAAGGAAAAACTATCATTTACTTACTCCAATAAGTAAAAGAAGCAGCAAATATTTTCAACAATTTACCAGTCAAAACTTCAATCAATAATAGGAAGATTTTATTAGTCCTAAATCAAGCAGTATTAGTGTTCACAATTCTTACATCTCTATTTACTTCTTCTCTATTATGCTTTAGCTTTTGAAAGATTAATTCATAAGAACAATTATTCTCATGGGAGAAAAGTGCAACAATGAGTGAATGGAAATCCAAAGTCTCTGTAAATTTTTACTGAAATTAATAATAAATTTAAATTAAAAAAGGAACAATTATTCTCATACATGATTGCACATTAAAATCACCTGAGAAGTTTTTTAAATTCTACCAAATCCCAGGCTCACCCCTCCCCCAGAGGTTCTGATTCATGATCAGGGGTGGCTTCCTACCATTAGTAAATCTTAAAAGCTCCCAGGGTAATTGCAATGTGCAGTCAATGGAAGAAATACTCATTTAAGGTTGCATTTCTCAAGCATGACACTAAGGAAGCTTTGGGCCCTATAATTCTTTATTGTGGCAGCTCTCTTGTGCATTGTCATATTCCATTCCAGGCCTCTACCCATTAGATGCCAGCTGTACTCTTCTAGTTGTGACAACCAAAAATTTCTCCAGACCATGCTAAGTGATGCTCCTTCACCCCAGGGTAGAGGGATGATTAATTTGACCTCACTTAAGAAAAATTGATCTAAGGAACTGTGTAAGGGACCATGGTGGTACAAATGGTTTATGATGAACTCAGCTGTTATACAGAAGAATGGTAGTTAGAATAAAGGTCTGCTGATCTACTCCTTTCACAATCTGTGAAAGGATGATATGAAAAGCTTAAAAGTATAAAAGAACAAAACTCTTACTAAAATTTTATCTAATCATGCAAAATAACACCAATACTTTGAAATATTTATCCCTTGTAGCTTATTAAGGTCAATGGATTTCAGTTGTTAAAATAAGATATTAAATTGACTTTATCTAAGAGAAAATAATTTTTAAATGCTGTGTTCAAACATTCTTCTAGGTCATATAGCCCTAGTGTGTCCATATGCCTTTCTGAGGTAACTTGGGGCTGATGTGATGCTGAACACTGACACTGATGTGTCAAATGCAATAATGGTTACTCATGGTGGACAGTGTTTGGTGGAGCTCCCCGATTAAAAGAAGCTTGGAAGCAAGAGTGGCATCTACTTCCATAATAGCTTGCCTCCAGAAACTCTATGAACCTGGAGAAAGGATGAAAGTCACACAAGTGTTGAGGACTTTCATTCATAGGGTCGCTATGAGTCGCCTACAGCTTGTTGGCACTTAACAACAACATGTTATCTATAAAAGGCTGTGGATTTGTAAAGATGGTATTTTGTTTTGGCTTTCTGGGGGTTCAGAGTAAGTGTTACAATTTTGTGGATTCTTTGCAAACCCTGTTTCATCCTAGTTTTACCAGTTCAATGTAAATTTCTCTACTAAACCACCAAGGCAAAACACTACTTTCAGAAGTCACTTGCTGTAAAAGAAGTCTCTAGATTTGGAATTCTCAAATAAGAAATTGGAACTGGAGGTAAAATAAGCTACTGTACAGAAGGTGGTTGGGCAGAAGGCCCTCTTGGTCTTTTCCTGAATCCTGTCATTCCATTCATCCTGGGCGGGTGGAATCACCAGGCAGGCTCTCTGCCAAGCTACCTGTTTTCTCTTGCTCTTTTTGCTGTTTTCTAGATACCCTCATCTCCAGCATCCTTTCTACATTTCCCTGACATATGCCAGTCTCTTTGGTGGGTTGCTTTCCTTCTTAGATATCTAAACAGATCCCAAGTTTTCTAAGAAACAAACAAACAAACAAACAAAGTCAATGGGATGAGTGAGAGGAACTAGTCACACTTACAGTATTGGGGGACTTGAACCTGTGATTCTGACATTGTGACTGTAGGTATGACTTAAAGTATCCCTTGTCCTGTGCAAAAAGTTAAGAGCACTAAGGATTTGTCTGATACTGTTCTGGTTTTGAGATATGACAGGTAAAAGATATTACCCCTGTCCCTTAAGATTCCCAGGCTCTAGATATATTAGATGGGCATGACCTGGGCAAGGTCGTTCAAGACCACCCACCTTAAAGGCAATAATCTCTTCAGATCGTCATCATTAGTTTTCTTCTTAGTCTGCTTAACCACTTTCGCTTCAGGTAAGTCCTCAGAGCAGGGATCTTCGGGCTTGGAAGGGGCCCCCTCTGTCAGAGTGCCCAGGTACACCAACAGAGCGAGGGCAAGGATCATTCTGGAGAGTCCCAGTGGCTTGCTAGACAGCATCTAAGGGCACAGAATATACAGAGAAAGGACTTTGGAATTCACCAGACATAAGCCCTGTTCTGTTCACCACCAGCACCCAATCCTCTCCAACTGCCACCACAGGGAACCCATGGGAATCATATCTCAGCTTTGACCCTCAGAGGAAACTAGGGTATAGTGAGGACCCTGTTTCCTGCTTAGAGCACCACTTAGCCTAGCCTGGCACCCCTGGTTTTGAAAACTTACAACCTAGGTACAAGTTGCAGGGTGAAGAGTCACATAGCTTGAGACCCTCAGTGCATATCTACCCACACCAGTCACTCACTTTTCAACAGAATTAGAAGTTCTCATCTGATCGAAGAACTACCACTTGCTTACTCCTACTCCAAATGTCTTTGGAGGAAAAAAACATTCTTCCCTCTTTTTTGTTCTATAAGAAGATTTCTTGGTCTGGTGTGGCTGAGATCACCAAGAGGAGACAGGAAGTTTTTTTGGTGGGTGGTTGGAGTAGACGAGAAAGAACTGCTTCTGAGTATAGCAAGTCTCATTCTGGAGCCAGGGGGCCTTGGGGTATGAGTCTCATATGGCTCCAAGACTCACAGTGTGAGAGCGTACCCTCTCCAAATTTGTCCATGCCGCCTACACCTCTATCCCAGCTGAGTGGGTTTTGGGGTACTTACGGTGTCGCTCGGGCAGGAAGTCAAGTGTGACTGGGCTGTGAGCGCTCTGCTGTCTGGAGTCCCTCTGTGGAGTGAGAACTGAAGGATGCAGTGTAGAGAGTGGATGACAACAGGGCTTTTAAAGCTCTCCCTTCTCAAGGCCGGAGGTGCCTTGGGTGATTACTGGCCTTCTACTTCCTTCCCCTGCCTGGTGGTGGTGGAAGGAGCAGGAAAGAACGGTGCTGAGGGGCATAGAGCGTCCACTCAGAAGCACCTTTACCCCAGTGTCCCGCCAAAGGGTGGGCCAGGGAGTCTTTAATACTGTTCATGATTGTTGTAAAATTATGACACATAATGGCAAGAATAAATCTGAAACTTTAATTTCATTTCTAGAAACGTTAGAATCAGCTTGTGTTACTGGCTGACTCTTCCAATGAGTATGTGTTTGCTCTTTGACTTTGTTAAGCTTCAATGAAGTCATGCAAACTTTAGGAACCAGTGTCAATGGCTCTGGGCAGGACAATATCATATCCTGAGGAACTGTTCCTGTTTCTGAGAGCATACCTCATGATGAGATGAAAGATATCATCTGTTTGGTCCCCGGGAACTGAAATGTATTTCCTGAGCTCGCATTTGTCTACTGAAAACTGTTTTTCTTAACCATGTGTGTACCGTATCTCAGAGTTTTTGAGAACAGTATGTAAAGTGTCCCTGCGGATGAGGTAGCCCTATGCCTTTGAACACAGAATAATAATGTGTTAAGTGTGTCCCTGACTGAGGTACAGGGGAAAAGGACCACTTTAATGTCCAATAACATCTTGGTGATTCTGGTGAGATGACTCAAATTCTCCTGTAAGTAAAATCATATTTTGTTCTTGCTTGCTGGGAGATTCTGACTACATTAAGATAGGGAAGGATCCTGTGAACCAGCACCTCAAACATCCCAAAGGCAAAAATGAGAACTGTTGTCTCAAAAGGTCTTTGAGGGGTGAGTTCTCAGCATTCTCTAGTGCTTTCTTGAATTCATATACTGTATCTTATAGCTCCATGCCGGGAAAATCTCTGTGTATTTGACCACCAGGACTGAGCATTTTATGCCTGTGCTTTTAACTACTGGGGTAAATGAAAACAAAACAAACAAACACCGAAACAAAACAGAAAAAAAAAACCCCCTCCTTTCTAGTCTACTACTTTTGGAACAGAAGCAAAATCTCCCTCTCTATCTTTTGCTCTAAGATGCCTGTTTTCTGATTACGTGCTTAGGTCTGTATGTGTCACACTCTAGTGCCTGGTCTGGTTTCTGTTGTACTTATGGTATGAATATGTCCACAAAGAAGCATGAGTTCTCCATTCTTCATTGCCCCTCGGTGCCTGTGTGTATCAGATGTGGTTAGTTGTAAGATGTGATTAGTTGCTTTGTTTCATGATGATTGGACATCTACTAAAACTCTTAATTCATTTTATTTTAGACAAAGGAGGCAAGAATGAGAATGAAAAGTTCCATTCCAGAGAGAAGCTTAATAAAGGAAATTCTGTATGATTGGCTTATTTACTGATGTAAGTAAGTGACTAACAAGGAAAAAAAAAGAATAGTGTTTTACTGTAACACACCCTGAACTAGGTATCATTTACATTCTGGAGAAAACTTGCCTTTGTATGAATCCTCAAATCACTTTACTATTTAGCCAAAAATTAGTTTGGCAGCTATTAGAGAAATTAGATGAGATACTATATGTATTATTTGTTTTTATGATTCTACCCCATAAAGATGAACGCATAGATGGGCAAAAGGAAAGGAACCTGGCACTCAACAGAAGCAGCCGAAAAGCCTAGAAATTTCTGATTCTATCCCAATAATTATTACATTTTTTAACATAGGGGGAAATATTATAGATTTTCAAATAGCACACAAACAAAAATCAATAGTTTCTGATATGCCAGCAATATCTAGGGGCAGAAATCGTGATTCAGCCTCACTTCACTGGGAAACTGGGAACAGCGATTAAGACAGGCTCTCTGTTCCAAACCTGGCAGAGGATCTCTTTTGGCTGAGAGCTCCTCAGAGCAAGGACAATGCAATGTCCACCTTAGAGATGTACCCATAGAATCTAATGCACATGGTCAGACAGCAGGGTATTACAGGGCATAAAGATATATTCCTTTCTCCACCTTAAATTAGTAAGATTGGAAGAATTTACATTCTTCCTATGGATATGCCCCTGATAAAGTGACAGATTTAATAATCGCTATCAACACAGAACTGCCAGATGTTCAGGCTGGGTTTAGAAGAGGCTATGTTACCAGAGATATTATAGCTAATGTTGTATGGATCTTGGCTGAAAGCAGAGAGGTCCTGTGTATTGTTGACTGTTGTGTACCGTAGAGTCAGAACCAAACTATAGCTGACCCTCCAGTGTGTTTTCAGAGACAATTATCACAGGGGAGGAGATTGTCCATTCTTCTCCTGCAGAGAAGCTGGTGGTGTCCTCAAACTGTGTGCCTTCAGATTACAGTGCATCTTCTTGTCACTAGGCCACCAGACTATGCAAAGGCATTTGACTGTGTGGATCACAACAAACAGGGGCTGACTCTGAAAAGAATGGGAATCCCAGAACATTTTATTGTGTGTATGTGAAACCTATACTTGGACCAGGAGGCAGTTGTCAGAACAGAGCAAGGAAACACTGTATGGATTATAATCAGAAAGAGTGTACATGAGGGATGCATCCTCTCTCCAAACCTTTCCAATCTATATGTGGAACAGATCAGCCTAGAAGTTGTGCTCTATGAGAAGGAATTATGGCATCAAGATTGGAAGAAGATTTATCAACAATTTGCATCATACATATGACATAGCCTTGTTTGCTGAAACTGAGGAGGACCTGAAGCACTGCAGCCTTCAATATTTACTGAAGTTCAACATCAGAAAAATAAAACTTCTCACCACTGGGCCAATAGCAGCATCATGATGGATGGGGAAGAAATTGAGATTGTTAACAGCTTTAGTTTGCTTGGCTCCACAATCAGCACCCTAGGTACCTGCAGCCAGGAAATCAAAAGATGCATTTCATTGGGAAACTCTGTTGTCAGGGATCTCTCTAGAGTACTGAAGAGCAATGATGTCAGTCAAGTGCACCTGATCCAGGCCATGATCTTCACAATTGCATGCTATGCGGACAGCTGGACAATGACTATGGATGATAAAGGAGAATTGATGCCATTGAGCTGTGGTGCTGGAGAAGAGTATTGCATATACATACTATGGATTGCTAGGGGAACAAACAGGTTAATTCTGGAGAGAGTGAAAGCAGCGTGCTCCTCAGAGGTAAGGATTCTGAAGCTCCATCTGCCATACTCTGGACATGTCACAAGGAGGGACCAGTCCTTGGAGAGGGAAATCATGCTTAGAAGGGTGGAGGGGCAAGGCAAGAGAAGAAGATCCTCAATGAGACGGGTTGACTCAATAACTAGTTAATGGGGTTAGGTGTATCAGAGACAATAAAATTGGGTTAGGATAGAGCAGGGTTTAGGGCTGTTGTACATAGGGTCACTATGAGTTGCAAGCAACTTGATGCCACAGAACAACAATAATTTTTGCAACCCATTACCCTAAGCAGGCAGACATGCCCGCCTTGTTAAGTTAGTTCCTGGTTGGTGATTAGGAGAACCCTAGAAACAGCTTACCTCCACAGAGACTAAGAGGACTTCAGTTCCAGGGAAGCCACCTCCTCCATTGAGCCTACTTGGTGTTTAAATGGTGGAAGTTGGTGACTAGGACAGGACAAAGAGTGCAATTTCAAGGATCAGAAAAAGAGCAGTCTCAAACAGATAGCCCTGGACATGATACGAGCTGTTCTGCAGCAGCAACAAAAATATGTTGAGTTTTTAAATAAACAGTGCATCAGGCTTTCTGTAGGTTGTTGTTGATTGCCTCCAAGTTGAGCATGACTCATAGCGACCCTATGAATAAAAGGCCTGAAGCCCTTCTATAATTATGAACATTTATAAAAGTTCATAGAGTTTCTGGAGGCATGTTATTTAGGAAGAGGATGCCACTCCTGCTTCCAAACCTGTCATTGTATATTATGTTCCATTTAGTCACCTGTGATGTACAGTGATCCTATATACAGCAGCTCTGAACCCTTCCCTGTCCAGAGCCAGACTCACTAATTCTGACACACTAACCCCCACTGCCCCCGTTACTGTATCAATCCATAATATCCGGGGTCTTCCTTTCCTGCATTGTCTGTCCACCCTTCCACGAATGACGTCTTTCTCCAAGGGCCAATCTCTCCTGGCCATGTGCCCAAAGAAAGTGAGGCAGGGCTAAAATCTTAGCCTCCAAGGAGAGACTTGGTTTCTCCCTTTCCAAGACAGACCTATTTGTTTTCGTGGAAGTCCATGGTATGTTAAAGACTTGTATCCAGCACCACAATTCAAAGGTATCTATTTTTCTGTCATCCTTAGTCATTGTCCAACTCTCTGAAGTAATTGAGAAGAACATAACCTGGATTAGGTGCACCTTTGTATCTAGACTGACATCATTACTTTTCAGCACGCTGAAGAGGTCCATGACAGCAGATTTTCCCAATGCAATTCGTCTTTTGATTACCTGACTGCTGGGAAGAGTGTGGATTGTGGATCGAGCAAGTTGTAATTGCTAAAACGTCAATCTCTTCTCCATCTAATATGGTGCTTCCAATTGGCCCACTGGTGAGAATTTTTGTCTTCTTGATGTTGAGCTTCAATCTATATTGAAGACTACATAGTTCTTGACATTTTGCAGCAAGTGCTTTAGGTCTTCTTCAGTTTCAGAAAGTAAGGTTGTGTCATTGTAGGTTGTTGATGAGTTTTCCTCCAATCCTAATGCCACATTCTTCCACATAAAACCCTGGTTTCTGAATGATTTGTTCTGCTTACAGATTGAAAAGCTACAGGGACAGGATGCATCCGTGATACACTTCTTTCCTGATTTTGAATCATGCAGTGTTTCCTTGCTCTGTTCTGAGAACTGTTTCTTGGTCCAAGCAGAGATTTCATATAAGCACAATCAAGTGTTCTGGGTTCTCCATTCTTCTCAAGGTTAGCCACAATTTGTTATGAGCCACACAGTCAAATGCCTTTGCATAGTCAATAGAAAGACATTCTTATGGTGCTCTGTACTTTCAGCAAAGATCCACCTAACTGTAGCAGTATTTTCCCTAGTGCCAAAGCTTCTTCGAAACTCAGCCTGCACATCTGGCAGTTCTCTGTTGATGTGCTGTTCCAGTTGTTTTTGGATAATTTTCGGCAAGATCTTGCTTGCATGTGGTATTAGTGATATCATTCC